ACCACCACCACATCAATTATATATTATATATATAATTATATATAATTGTATGCTATATAATTGTGGCACCTAACCACCACCACCACATCAATTACGTATTATATATATAATTATATATAATTGCATGCTATATAATTGTGGCACCTAACCACCACCACCACATCAATTATATATTGTATATATAATTCTATATAATTGTATGCTGTATAATTGTGGCACCTAACCACCAACACCACATCAATTATATATTATATATATAATTATATATAATTGTATGCTATATGCAATTGTAACAGCAGTTAAGAAATAAAATGATGTATTGCATTAGGCAAATCTGCTGCACAAGATCTTTTTAAAGTGTTGAAGAGCAAAGATGTCAGATTGAGGACTAAGCTGTGCCTGACCCAAGCCATAGTATTTTCAACATCTGCATAGACATGCGAAAGCTGGACAGTGAATAAGGAAGACCATAGAAGAATTGATGCCTTTGTGCTATGGTGTTGGAGGAGAATATTGAAAGTGCCATGGGCTGCCAAAAGAACCAATAGGTCCATTCTGGAAGAAGTGCAGCCAGAGTGCTCCTTAGAGGCCAAGATGGCCAAATTTCCTCTCTCATACTTCGGATATATTGTCAGGAGGGACCAGTCACTGGAGATGGATATCATGTTTGGTAAGCTGGAGGGTCAGAGAAAAAGAGGAAGACCCCCAACAAGATGGATTAGCCAAATGGCAGCATCTATAGACTCAAGCGTGGCAACAGTAGTGAGGTTGGCCCAGGATCAGACAGTGTTTCATTCTGTTGTGCATAAGGTCACTATGAGTCAGTACCAATTTGATGGCACTGAACAACAACCACATATAATTGTATAGCAAAATATAGTAATTGTGAGGATGGCACAGAATGCAGCAGTGGTTTGTTCTGTTATGCATAAGAACACTATGAGTCGGAACTGCCTCGACAGTACCTAGTAACAAAAAACAGAATAAAATGGAGAATAATGCATAAATGTGTGTGTGTGTGGTGGTGATGCTAAGTTCATGACAGTCCCTTGTGCTCATTGTCAAACTGCTCATAGGGTTTTCAAGAAGCAAATTGCCGCTCTACCTTCCTTCAGAGGTGACTCTAAGTAAGTTTGAACACCAACTTTTCAGCTAACAGTCGACTATTGAGTGCTTAATGGTTTGTACCACCAGAATTTTATACATACATACATATAATTACATATATATCTGCATGTTGTTGTTGTCATTAGGTGCCATCAACTCAGTTCTGATTCATTGAGACCCTGTATAGGTTTTCCGAGGCTTTAAATCTTAATGGTAGCAGAAAGCCTTATTTTCCTCCCACAGCCTAGTGCTTACTGAATGGAACTATATCTTGTGTCTCCTGGTGTGGTGCTGTAGGATACAGCACTTGATCACATGGTTGATTTGAACCACAAGGTTGGTGGTTCAAACTCACTAGCCACTCCTTGGGAACTCTATACAGGTTTATTATAGGTCCAAACCAACTCAGTGCCACTTAACAACAACAATATCTATATATATAAATAACAAACTTGTTGTTGTCTTGGGTGCCACAAAGTCAGTTCCAACCCATAGTGGCCCTAAGTGCTACAGAATGCAATGCTTCCAGCTCCTACACCTTCCTCAAAATTGTTGTAAGTTTGGACCCATTGTAGCTGCCACTATGTCAATCCATCTTGGTGGGAGTCTAACTATTTTTCTTTGACACTCTATTTTACCAAGTGTGATGTCCTTCTCCAGGGACTGGTCCCTCCTGATAACATGTTTAAAGTATGAGAGACAAAGTCTCGCCCTCCTAGCTTCTAAGGAGCATTCTGGCTGTGCTTCCTCTAAGGCAGAGAGATGTGTTTGTTCTTCTAGCAGCCCATGATTCATTCAATGTCTTCACTAACACCATAGCCCAAATTCATCAATTCTTCTATGGTTTTCCTTATTCATTGTTAAACTTGTACATGCATATGAAGCTATTAAAAATACTGTGGCTTGGGTCTGGCACAACTTAGTCCTCAAACTGACATCTTTGTTCTTGATAACTTTAAACAATGCTTGTGCAGCAGAATTGCCTAATGCAATACATTGTTTGATTTCTTGACTGCTGCTTCTATGAGTGTTACTATGGTTTCAAGTAAAATAAAGTCTTTGACAACTTCAATCTTTTTTCCATTTATCAAGATGCTATTTATTGCTTCAGTGATGAGGATTTTCCTTTTCTTTACATTACTCTGCAATCCATATGGAAGGCAGTAGTCTTTGATCTTCATGAGTAAATATTTTAAATCTTGTTCATTTCTTGTAAGCATGGTTGTGTCATCTGCAAATCCAGGTTGTTGACAAGCCTTCCTCCAATCTTAATGCCCTTCATAGAATCCAGCTTCTCGGATTATTTGCTCAGCATACAGATTGAATACATATGGTGAAAACATATGGTGAAAATACATATGGTGAAGTGCTTTTATCACTGGCACATACCTCTACTGATTTTAAACTATTCAGTATCCCCTTCTTCTGTTAGAACAACTGCAATTCAGTCTAAGTAAAGGTTCCTTGTGAGCACAATTGAATGTTTTGGAATATCCATTTTTAACAAAGTTATCCATAGTTTGTCATGATCCATACAGTATAATGCCTTTGCATAGTCAATAAAACACAAGGAAACTTCTTGCTTTCAGTCAAGATCCAGCTGACATCGACAATAATATCCCTATTATTCTACATTCTCTTTTGAATACGACTTGAACTGTTGACAGTACCCTCTCGATGTACTGCTGCAACCATTTTTAAATACTCTTCAGCAAAATCTTAATTGCATGTGATATTAATATATTATTCAATGACTTTTGCATTCTGTTATGTTACCTTTCTTTGCATTGGGCACAAATACAGATCTCTTCCAGTTTGTTGGCCAGGTAGTTACCTTCCAAATATCTTGGTATCGATTAGTGAGTGTTTCCAGTCCTGCATTAGTTTGTTGAAACATTTCAATTTTTTTCACATCAATTCCTTGAGCCTTGTTTTTGCTCAATGTCTTCACTGCAGTTTGTACTTCTTCCTTCTATACCATCAGTTCTTGATCATATGCTGTCTTTTGGAAATCATTGAACATCAACCAGTTATTTTTGGTACAGTGGTTCCTTCCATCTTCTTTGGATGCTTCTGGCATCAGTCAATATTTTGCCCACAGAATCCTTCAATATTCAAGTCTAGAATTGATTTTTTTCTTCAGTTCTTTTAGCTTGAGAAATGCTGAGTGTGTTCATCCTTTTTAGTTTTCTAATTACAGATCTTTGCATATTTCATTATAATACATGCCTTTGTCTTCTGTAGCTGCCCTATGAAATTTTCTATTAGTTCTTTTACTTCCTCGTTTCTTCCAGTTTCTCTAACTTCTCTATATTCAAGAGAAATTTCAGAGTCTCTTCTGACATCTGTTTTTGTCTTTCTTACCTGTCTTTTAAATTACCTTTTGATTCATTCATGTATGATGTTCTTAATGTTATCCCAGAGCTCTTCTAATCTTTATTCATTTGTGTCTAATGGATCAAATCTGTTCTTGAGATGGCCTCTATATTCAAGTTTCTTCATCTTTTCTTCCCACAGATGTAGTCAATTTGATTCCTGTGTGTTTTGTTTGATGAGATCTAGTCCCCTATTATGATCTTGAAAAGTGCATTTGCAATGAATAAGTCATTGGTCTTGCAAAATTCTATCATGTGATCTCCAAAATTATTTCTATCACCAAGGCTGTATTTTCCAATGACTCACCCTTCTTTTTGTTTCCATCTTTTCCAGTCCATTCACCAGTAATTAACAATGCATCTTGATTGCATGCTTGATAATTTTCATTGAATAGTAGAGGTATTAGTTGGTCTTTCTTATAGGTGTATAGGTATTATTCTATCAGAGATAGAATTGTTCTTCAAGAAATTTCTTGAAATGCTTTTTGACAATGAATGTAATACCATTCCTTGTCAGTTTGTCATTTCTGACATAGTAAACCATATAGTTGTGTAATTGAAAGTGGCCAATATCAGCCCATTTCAGCTCATTAATGCCTAGAATATCAATCTTTATGTGTACTATTTCATTTTTGAGGACTTTCAATTTTCCTAGATTAATCCTTCATGCATTCCAAGTTCTGATTAATAACAGATGCTTGCAGCTGTTTCTTCTCATTATAAATTGTTTCTCATCAGCAAATGATGGTTCTGTTAGCTTTGATCCATTTCTGTCTTTAAGGTTAAATGTACTTTGAGGAGACAGCTCTTCCCCAGTCATATTTTGATTGCCTTCCAACCTGAGAGGCTCATCTTCCAACATTATATTAGGCAATGTTCTGCTGCTATTCACAAGATTCTCATTGTCAACTCAACAACACTTAACAACAACAACCATTAAGACGTATTATTAGGAAGGACCAGTCCCTGGAAAAGTACATCATGCTAGGTAAAGTGGAGGGTCAACAAAAAAGAGGACACTCCCAATGTGATGGTTTGGCACAGTGACAGCAGCAGTGATTGTGAGGATGGGGCAGGACCAGGCAGTGTTTTGTTCTGTTGTGCATAAGGTCACTATGAGTGGGTACCTACTCAGTGGTACCTAACACCTAACAAAAGGCCGTGCACAAGTGGTCTGCCTCTCCTTCTTCCTAATCTGTCTTAACCTTCAGTGAACCCTGTCCACCATGGGAAACCCTATTGGTACTTAAAATACCGGTGGCATAGCTTTCAGCATGAATGCAACATACAAGCCACTACAGCACAACAGCGTAACATATGGTGGTGATCAATATAGATAAATGATCATTTATTAATTTATTGGGTAATAAATATAGATTCATTGAATGCCATTTGTTCCAGTGGCTCCCTCCATCATTACTCTGAGGTGATGAGCATGGCATTGTGTGTAAATGCCTGTGGTTTACAGTAAAGAGTCATAACAAATTTGACATGCTCCTTCTCTTGTCTTTTAGCTCCTATTCCAGGTGACTAACCCTGGCATCAAGTACGAGTACACAATCCGGAAAGATGGCTTTGACAATGATGTGGAGAAACTGGAGTACTTCTGGCAGTATGGTCACTGGACAGAATGCAGTACAACATGTGGGACAGGTGAGAAAAGCTGCTCTCACAGTGAATCTGGGGTAGCTGCAGACTGGGCCACTAAAGACCATTTAAGCTGGGGGTATGCAATCTATAGCCTGGGGTCTGCAGGGCCCACAAATATGCCCCAGGGTTCCCGTGGGGAGTGGATGTGAAAGGACATGGTGTAAAGCAAGAAGTGAAGTGTAAAGTAAAAGTTGTTCTTTTATCATCTTTATATGCTGACTTCTGTGACAGTTTAGCTGCTCCTGTTGCTGGTAGTGGTTGTTTTGTTGTTTTCACTTTAAAGAAAGGGCTGTTGCTGTTGTTGAGGTTAAGAGTCATAAAGTCAGTTCTGACTCATGTCGTTGCTGCTAAGTACTGTCAAATTGGTACCGACTCATAGCGACCTTATGCACAACAGGATAGAACACTGCTGGGTCTTGCACCAACCTCAAAAGCTTTGCTACAACTCATAGCAACCCTGTATAGGCTTTCTAAAGAGTGGCTGGTGGCTTTGAGCCACTTACCTTTCAGTTACTATTTCAGTGCTTATCCTATAGCACCACACCAGAGCTCCATCCATATATACATAACATTTATATGATTTTTATCATTATTAAGTGTTGTAGAGTTGGTTCCTCAACTTCTTGTTGTTAAGTGCCATTAATATAGCAACCCTATACAGTGTTTCTGGGGTGTACCTGGTGGGGTTGAACAGTCTGGTGCTTATCCTGTGAGCCATATCAGGACCCCAAGGAAAGGATTAGTGTTGTAGTTGAGGACCCCAAAAATCAACCCATCCAAAGGCATTCTAGAAATTACAGTCATATACAAACCATAGCCTGTTTCCCAGTCTGGAGTTCTTCCTCTTTTTCCCATTTACTGGAGTTTTATACCTACTGTGTCATTTTATCTCACATAGGTAAGCACGTCTAATTACAAGAATCCTAACTGGAATTGTCAGATAGAGTAAATCAAGTCCAACTATTGATCTATAATAATGCCTGGATTTTTTTTTTTTCATTTAAGATTTAATAAAGTTAATAAAATTTATTGACACCGATTTAACATATACTGTGGGATGAAGACTATATGTTTTACCATGTGCATAAATATATACATTAACCACAAGCAATGTACACACCAAAAGCCTGGTAAACAGGCAGTTGTTCTTCACGAATGAATGAATGAATGAATGAGGACCCTTAGTCAGTGTTGCTAATCTAATGGTTTGCTGGTCTCCTGAGTCCCATCCCATTTTTACCCCATGTAAACATTAGAGGTTTGTCCTTGCTTTGTTTCCAGGTCATTAAATTTGTTTTCTAATAATCTGCTTGCTTAGAATTTCTCAGTTCGTTTCAACGAAGGCTTATTTTGCTCACAGTGTTCTGTGAAGTGCTGAGTGCTGCTTTTCTTGTGAACCCGTGAATGCTGTGAGATTTCGCAGACCTCTACCCACTTTATCAGATTTGCATGTAATGGCTGCATCAGGAGAAACAACACTTCCGGACCCTTTGAAAACTTTTCTTACCTAGCAACGCTAAATATGCTTCCCAGAATGCACAGTGCACCTGTTTAAACATTATTACATCATTTTTTTATATGTTTCTGTAGAAATTACATAATTTCTTATAAATTACCTGGAGTCCTGGTGTAACTCTGTAGAATAATCACTGGACTGCTAATCACAGGTTGTCAGTTCAAAACCATAGCACTTTTTGGAAACCTTATACAGGGTTGCTCTGAGTCAGAAACAACTCAATGGCACTTAACCACAACGACCTTTGCTCATGGCAGTTAGCTAATGCAGTCTGTTGCCATGTCAAAGACAGTGTATGTATGTATGGGAAGGGGTAAGAGGAGAGCTAAAACTATTGGTTTTCAGAGATGTGTAACTGTCACAGGTGAATAATAATAAAACCAAACCTCATTAATGGATATCCTGTTAATATCTGTAGTTATTCAAGTCAGTGTCAGTGTCCTTCTGAACTGAAAAATAAAATCGATTTGTATAACTTAGGGCTCAGCTATTTGCAGGATGGATGTTGCATCATAGAAACAAGAGGCTAAGGGACTTTGACCTAGTCTCTCAGCCTAAATGCTGAAACCAACAACCTGTAGATAGCAGACCAGCAGAAAGAGTTAAGGCCCAGGATCGAAGCTTTGGATTCAGGTCAAACAATTGTCCAAGAGCCTGTAGTATATTAGATTCTGTGCCATGAACTTCAGGGCCCATTGTCCCATTTCATCCTCACAACTGTAGTCTAGCTTCTCCCTGAAGATAAGATTGAAGAAATAGAGTCCTGGGGAAGTTAGGCAAGCTCCCCAAGGCCATCATCAAGTGTCAAAAGCAGGATTCAAAACCAGCCTTACTCCGATTCCAGTGTGCATGCTGTGTGTTTGTGTATGTGCATCCAAGTCGTTGTGTGATGCATGTAGTACGGGTGTTAGAGTTGTTATTGCTGTTGATACTGTGATTGTTGATCTATCTTTCATACATATATATACACATGTACACACTTCTGAATGTATTTGAGTTTTGTAATGATGAGGTCAAAGCTTTCTTTGACTGAGCCTTCATGTTGCTGTTGTTAAGTGCTGTGGAGATGGTTTCAACTCATAGAGACCCTATGTAGGGTTTCTGAGAAGTGGCTGGTGAGTTTGAACCACCAATTTTGCAGGCCAAACCATCCTTGTGATCCAGTGCACTTTCCTACATCACCACATCAGCAGTCTTCAGAGGAAAAATAAATCTGAGCTCACTAAGCAAGGAAAAAAAAATAAGGGGCAAATGGAGCCAGAAAAATGAGATAACTGAAATACAAAGTTAAGATGGACTTGTGAACGAGACAGATGGATATGCAATTCCCTGGAATATTCTAATGTCTTCCTGTGAATGCTATTTCTTTGCAATGTAAGGACTTCTAGAAGTGAAGTGACCCAATGGATGTGGAAATCAATGGACAATCTCTTTGATATCCCATGCGAGTAAAGTTTTACTAATGGTAATACAGAAACAGCT